CCCCTTTTATTACAATTCTTCTTATTTTAAGGGAAAATTATGCGGTTAAGCGAATTTATACTACTTAATTAGTCATTGTAGCTATAGTTTGCTATAATTACCACTTGCAACTAACATTAACTATTAATTATGTGGGCTAACTTCGTGCTTGTATAATTCGCCACATTTGTATAATCCGCAATTAACAATTCTTCGTTTGATTTTTATTTGTATAAGATGGTTTGTATTTGCATATGACGATGATTTCGTTTGGTTTTTCAGTTTTATCACCATATACGTTCAAAAACACGTGAATTGTACAAGTGAGATGCGAGTTATACAAATTATTGCCCTCTCTCACTCGCCTCTCTCCTCCCTCTCCCAATTTCGTTCTCTAGATATACAAATACATACATATACCAGTTACATATGTACAATTATCAAACCGATATACATATACAATTCACCTCTCTCCCACTTTTTGCCCTCTCTCGCTCACCTCTCTCCTCCATCTCCCAATCTCGCTCTCCACTCTCCTCTCTTTTACATGTAGCTACGAATCGAAATTAGCAAACTCTAGTTATATAGCGTAATTAAACTATTTTGTAGTGGCTATATACAAAAGTTCCACTTAATTTGTTTAAGTAACCCCCTTAAACACAATTTCATCCCAACTTCAAACCAATATTAACCCAATTACAACAGCCCACAACACAATAATCAGCTGCATCGACCCAAGCCCACCAATATTCCAAAACGCTGTCAACAATTCCAACAAAACATCCACCAGACATACACAGCAAAACAAACCCAGCAATCGATACATACAAGTACAACGTTCACACCCAATTAAGTGGATCGAAAATAGAAAAACACTGTTTATTCATTAAATTACAGAAAATAAAAGGTATAGAGTAGTTAGATGGATCAATATCCCCTTAGTTCGGAATAGATAAGCCATGTTATCACGATAACGAGGCCGACAATTGTAAGTAAGCTACAAAATATAGATAGGATAATCATAATTTTGTGACCAAGATCAAGAGAACTCCAGCTTCGACGACTATCATCAATCACCTTCTCTTTTGGATTGTTGTCTTCATCGTTAACAATATTATTATGAGGTTTTGGAGGAGCAGCTTCTGATGGTGGTGACGAGAGTAATAATTTTCTAGAGAGGGTGGTGGAAGGAAAACATACTAGTATCATTATTACAACTACTTTAACAAGACATGAGGGAAATTTTACCATGTTTTTTTGTTGAATTTGCACCAGCTAATTAATATTTCAATGAAACAATTCACTATTTCACATGTATATATAGGTAGAGGCTTTACGTTTTATCTTTGGATTAGGATTTCGCTTTCCTTTTCGTTTCTTTTTTGGATTATTATATCATTCCTATTCCCTAACGACTATGGAAACATTTTTTATGGAATTTTTTTTACATTTTATGGTGACTTTTTATATTTTACACGTTTTCTAAAACCAAAAACATATATATGGAAGTTTTTATATTTTAATTTTGCACGGTTTATATAATCAGAAAACATATATGGAAACTTTATTTTTACCCATAAAAAAAAGGAAAGATTTATCACCGTCCGCCAATTGGATTAAGTTGTTAGATTTTTACACGAAGCATATATATAGAAACTTTGGATATGGAAAACCTTTTTTTTTTGAATGTTGAGGGAGTGTATTAGGAAAATGAACGTGTAAAAGAGAAAGTGAATAAATAATATGATATGGAATGATTGAACATAAATTTAGCACATACTAAAAAACCAAACTTGTAAAAAAGAAAGTGAATAAATAATGTGAGACGAAACGAAAGAATAATAATATGCTTTATATATATATATATATACATTAACCCACACAAACGTATATTCCTTATTAGATATACTAGATGAGCGTTGCCCGTGCTAAGCATGGGCCCAACGTTTAAAATTTTATCATAATTTTACTTCTGTTTGATTTACTATGAAATATATTTGAAATCCAACGTGGTAAAAAATATTTTTAAATAACTGTAATTTCAAAAAACACAATGTCTATAATTTTAGTAAGGAATCACATTTTTTAATCTGCACGATAAAAGAATCCACATGTAATAAGATACAAGCGAGAGTCACTATTACTTTTCTTTCAAGTTTCAACAATTAGTTCAATATTAAGTTGGGAAAACATTCACAATTTAGTATCCTTATTCAAAGTTTATCAATATATACATAATAAGAAGGCAATCGATTATTATTACATAGATATTGAATGCACGACAGGAAATCTACTTGTAAAGCACAGTTTGTCGTTATTGTTTAAAAATTAAATGATTTTTTTTTTTTTAACAAAAACAACTTTCAATAATTAATTTTACACAGGCAGAATAGGTACGATAAAATCAATAATGTATAGTTTAGAAAGAAGAAAAAAAAACAAGAAAACTAAAAAACTATGAATATGGTACCTTCTGAATGTCTTCCCTTAGAACAGGTTCCAAATTTTCGAGGGGAGTCTAGAAATGAAAGCGAAAGAACAAGCTGCTTAAATACATTTTTTTTCACAGGACATGTACATATTATAAATGGCAAAAAGGGACTTCAGAAGAATAAAGACATCAGCCTAGGAATTGAGACATAAAATTCAAATAAATGGTTGATGTTGTTAAATGACATAATTAGAGTATATAGTGTAAAAGTTAACAGACCATTGCATTAGTTATGCTACTTTACAGCCATATGCATCTTTTACAAATGTCAGATCTAATAGACTTAAAACACATGAACTTCAAAGTGTAATTATATAACTAATTTCTCCCATTACAGTAACAACTTTACTGCAGACAGGTGTCTTCTAAATACTCTTCAATTGTTAATATATGCGATGCTATGCTCATACGAATACATGTTAGGCAGAAAACATTGTGGCTACTTTCCCTGTACATTCTAGAAAAGTAGTGGTAGGAGTACCAACACAGTCCCTATGTATAATTTATAATGGATCTAAAATATATTTCAATGAGAAAAATTACTAATTTAAACACATTATAGCTGCCAAATTTGTTCATTATATATTCATGTGAATGTGATACTACTGAATGTTGAAGTGACATACTTACATAGTTTTAACATTTCCATATGTGGGAGTGCTAATTACATAAATTTACATACTATTTTAATTTAGACAAAAATAGATGCATCTTTCATGCTTGGATCTTCTGGACCATTTTTTTTGATCAAAATCACCTGTTACATTAAAATTGAGGGATTAAATGTCAGCACGGAATCACATAGTTTATACAACACAAGATATATCTGTTAGCAAGTCTAGGATTTATAAATAATTTAATCTAAGTCTTACAATATAGGCACTAAAAACAACAACAAACAATGTAACGGTAATAACAGAAGCATTATAAACCACATGGCCAAGACATTTAACTCTCAACAAACTCACATATTCTTTCCTTCCCAACAACAACATAAGAAATTTTGTTTTTATCCATTTTGTAGTAGATAAGCAAACAATAGAAACAATGATAATTTACGTAAAGATGATTTTTATTGAACGTAACTTGAAAGTAAATGACACATTGCTTACTTGTAAAAATAACATAGTGAGGCCACCAAGAACTACGAATTCAACAAAACTATCGTTTTTACTTCTTAATGACTGATCAACACCAAAGAGTTGATGTTGGAGGAAACTAACCAACTAAGCCACAATAAATGGAACATGGAAACTTAAAATATCATAGAGAAAAATGTGAAAGTTATAGCTTTTACATATGGATGAATAATGAGTATAAAATGCGAGGGTTTAATATACTAAACAATTGTAAGGGAAGCTTCATTGATGGAAAAATATTTATTTAAGTGGTTGCTTTAATTACCATTACTCGAAAGAGCTGTCATACTGCATTGATATATACAAGCCGGAACAGTAAGTAACATGAAGAACAAATTTAAAGAATGATAAATCTAACTTTCTTAATTTTAAGCTGTCAACCACATATATGCCTATTATTTGACTTGTGTAGGATCAGTTGGCAAAAGTATATGGGTCACAAAATTTATAAAATGGTGGAGATACAACAGACATTGATTGGCTGAAGCTGAGAAAGACGCAGTTCTGAGCTAGCGCTTGATTTTGACTCTTTAAAGCAAGAATCGAAAGTCTTTCCCAATGATCAATGTAAGCCATAAGGAAAAACTCAAACAAATCAACAAGGAGAAATCACTGAAGAGATTGGTCTAATAGTCATATAAATCAAAATAGGCAAACAATTCTACCAAATAGGCTTGATTTCACAAGTTTTTAATTACTAACTGTTATTTTGTATTGTAGTTTTTGATTCTATCAGTTTAAGGTGGTTATTCCAACAAGATCAATAGAGGAAAGTTACAACATCTTTTAGGAACTAAAAATGAACAGAATAGTTTTCGGCGATAATAATAATCATAACACCAGAAAGAATATATTTTCATTTAAGTTGATAAATGGAGTACTTGTAAAAAGATGACTTTTAACTAACTTGCTATCAGAGGAGAAAATATTTTCAATTTCGACAAAAGAACAGGGCATAAGGCATCCACATAGCAACATCAAAAGCTTGCAAAACACGGCATTCAGTAGCAACAACAAAAGAGTTCCAAAATAATCACTTTGAGAACCACAGCAAAAAGTGTTTCAACTGCAATTCAAAACAATAAAAGAAAATGTGTCTAGAGACTGAATCGAAGTCAAAGAAAATAAATACAATCCCATTTATATTAGTCAATTGCAAAGATGAAGTTTTAAAAAATGTACAAAATAATTCAAATACCTTTTAATTCTTTTTCATGGGATGATTTTTCATTTCCATGCTACGTTTGTGGGTAGAAGGATTATATTTGTTTGCCATGTTGGATATTCTTTTTCCCCTGAACTAAGATGTTCAATTGTGCGCTTTTTTTGCATCTGTAACATTGACTGTCGTAGATGCCATTGGTTTATGAATCACATCTTCTTTCTCCAAGTAAGACAAAATGGATAATTTTTACGTTGCATCCAATTTTTTTGTGAATAGCCTTTTCATTTGAATGTTGAATATCTTGCCGTTCAATTGATCTTCCACATTTTGGAGCGATAATGTTTCTTTCTGAAAAAATGAAAAAAAAGAGATTAATAATAACAAAATCATTAATGTTTTATATTTTATATATATAATAATTAGAAAATAAAGCGAACAGACAAATCGAAAGAGATTGGATATTTTTACCATTAAAGAAGATGTTCAACAACAATAGCATATGCAAGGATCATGAATTTTGAAATTAAAAGAAAAGTGGATGAGGAAAGAAATTTACATTTGTAATTAAATTCAATAGTAAAGGTCTTTCAACTAATCAGAGTCAACATGCAACAGTTCTAAAACCATCATGCCTATTGTGGTAGGTGCGCATGACAACTTAGGTACAAAGCTTTGAGCTAATGGGTAGCTATGTGAGATGGATAAAAGTAAAATAAATATATACAATGATAATATTTTTATAAAGAAAGTTGAATGTAAACAGACAACAAAAAGTATAAGTTGGGTGCTGGAGAAAAGAAACATGAACTTAAGATATGAAGTTTTGAATGAAAAGAGTAGACTGAACACGTTACAAATTCTCTCATGCTAGAGTTCTAAGTTTATAGAGTTATAGTATTTTTTTCAAGTCAAGGAACCCATATGTTCACATGATCATATATACATTCATTTGAAACTCTTAGAAGTTAGATAGTATATTTTTCACAAAATTAAAGAAAGTGATTGCCCTTGGTCGTCCAAGGCTTCACATTTCTATATAATATATATATAAGATAGAAATATAAATATATGATTAGTAATCTTAGAATAAGTAATTAATAATTAATTCACGAGATATTTGTCTATTGAAGGTAAGTTTCCATTCCCTCATTATCTACAACATTCTATGTTATTTGATAAGGAACTCACGAGATATTGTTTGAAAGTTGTGAGCTGAAGTTTTTCGACTATAAAGGTCTTCACAACTTATATGATACATAAAAAATGAATCTTTATTAGAAATTCTCTTATGCTAGATTTCTAAGCCTATAGAGCTATAGTATCCTTTTCAAGTTAAGGAAGTCATATGTTCACTTGATCATAAGGAAATCTAGTACTATATTATAACTTAACCTTTTCAAAAATACCTTTGACGTTTTTATATCATCATAAATCGATTATATACTACCATAACTTCATAAGTGCTCAACTATTACGATCCTTATTTGTCAATGAGAGCAATAAGATTTCAGAAATGTATCACCAAACACATCAGTATATTGCGACTCTCATGCTAGAGCACTTGTTATGTAGCATATAATTTAGACAGTAGTGAGTTAGAAAATCTCATCGTAGATTCCCTTAACTGTTACAAGCTTGTGTTGAAGAGAAGAAATAAGAAACAATGAAAATACAAAATCACAACAAGTTCTTTGTGATTATTTGGTACGAAAAAAGTAATATGTACCTTGACGAAGCAAATTTCATAAATTTCTTCTGAAGTGAGGTGCAACAATTTCTCTGCAATTTCATCCGAAACAATAACTGTTGCAAAACTGCTGTTGTCCTTAATAGTAACTTCAAATTGACATCTGTTTTGATAATTAATGAAAAATTTAAAAAATAATGGTTAGTTAAGACATTTATTTCTTTGAACAAACAAAATAAATAATCTTAATTAGTTATTATTAATTTTGTAGAAGAGCAAATATACCTAGGAATAAGATGCGTGGATCGGTGACAACTTGTGCAGTAGATTTCCCTTCGCACGTTATATCTTGTGAACAATTGCTTACAATTTGAGCATGCTAACACACTAAAGAGTTGATCCTTACTTGGAAGGGACAATTCAGCCTGAACATTAAATACTTGTCCCTTCAAATTCAATATACCAAATATTATTTTTTACTGAAAATAAAAAAAATGTAAAAATAGAATAATATACTTGTTGTTCTTACCCGGAGGTTGTGCCTGGATGTTAGCCACAGATATAACCTCATCCTCAAATGGAATCAACATAATAGAGCCTATTGGAGTTGTACTTTTCATCTTATAAGTAACAAGCTTTGTTTCAATTGTTTTGATCCTATAAACAAGTAAAATTATGAAAATTTATTAATATTGGACTCATCGAAAACACTTGTGTCATTTTGAAAATTGTAAAAAGGATTGTAAAGAAGTCTACGGTCCATACATTTATCAAAAACAAATAAGACTACTACTATCTTCATTTTGCTATATATGTGTTGTAGAAAGATTATGAAAAAAGAAATAAAAGTGAAATTTAAAACTTTGTGATTGTATGATTAAAGATGTGTTTTATATTTCAAAATATTCTGGAATTCCGATGCATTAAATAAAAATGTATATTACCACGTCCTTAACTCAGCAGCCTGTGGATATGGAGGATTGATTTCAATTGTTATATTGAATTTACTCGTCAAACCAACGAATCTATTTGACGTTCCTACGTGCATATGAATATGTGATTTTAGTTTCATCATGTCATATATTTTTCAAAAAAGAAAAATACAAATTTATTGCACTTTTACCTGAGGATGATTTCCCAATGCTCCTAGCAAGAATGATCGGGTAATCATGAAGTTGGTTGAAAAGTTTAACTCCCTCATGATTAATAAAATCCTCCCAAAGTGTTAGTTTTGTTGGTTTTTTCCTGCATATGATTCGAAGGATGTTTTCAAATATTAAAATAAAGTTACAGAAGATATGTGATATTGTAAAAACATTATATTATAATTAATAAAATTCAAATTATATTATTATCAACAAATACCAGCTTTTTGTCCTATAAAAGTCAGTGAAATGGATCAACTACATCCAATATAGACTGCAACAGAAACATCTTTGGTAACTATTATCAATATCATAAGCAAATGAACATATGGGAGAGTAATAAAGGAGAAGATATAAAACCTCAAACATGGTTTTTCCAACTTTGTAAGAGTTACTTATCGAGAACTTAGTTTAAAACTGCTTAATTAATAGATAAAAAATGAAATTTTCGTGGAAAGACGAAAAAACTCAAACAACAACAACCTAGTGAAATCAAACATGTGGGTTAAATGGAGGTAGAGTGTTTGCAAATCTTATCCCTACGAGTACTCAATATCTACCAGGGACCTCAATAAACGTGGATATCATTAGTTGTTGATCAAATTTCAATCTTGATCTTTAAAAAATAAGAGAAAATCATAGCAGAGGAAATAAATCAAATAGGGTAACCAGTATATTTCTCTTTAAGAGACTATCTTCACAATATTGAGAAATTAATTTATCTAAAATAAAAAGGGCAGGAACAAATCAGGAAGAAGATCAATCCTTATAAAAACTGAACCTTTATTTCAGAATGATTCAAAGGGACAAGGCATTCAAGCACATTACTTAAACAAAAGAGAGGGGAAGATGCACAAACAAACAAAAAAAAGAAAGAATGAAAAGACAATATTTGCAAAAACAAACAAGAACACTTCTAAAAGTACAACTATAGTCCCAAAAAGTAGGAGTGCACATTTGGAGAAGACGACTACAGAGACAACGTTATTGAAACTTGAAAAGATTAATCACTTTATTAAATACAAGTATATACATCAACTAAAAAAATGAAAAAGAAAAAAGAGAACACTATCAATGAAAAAGAACCTATTTTTGAAAACAAGTAATAAGATATGAAAATAAATGACAAGAGTGATATTCTATATATACTTACAGCTTGTCCATGACAATAAACTCTTGAATTCGTTTTCCAGTTGCAGTCTTTGTTGAAGGATTGCCATTAATGACAATGGCAAGTACATCTTGCATTAAACAAAAATAAAGAAAGAATAATTAGATCATGAGAACTATTCTATTATATATACTAACAATTAGATTTTATTTATGTGAATAATAATAATAATTAAATAAATTTATAAATACCAAATTCAAATTCTTTGGGTTGATACTCAAAAGTGTCAAATGTGGCAAGAGCTAGTCGGGTTGGTGGTGGTAATGGATCCTCTGGAGGTTTGACCTCTTCAACTGGTTCAACAATGGTGTTTTTATCGAGTGTCCAAATGAATTTGTTAAGTGGATTTTCATATCCAAGAGGTGGTTCTTTCACAAATGCAACAGATACCAAATAAGTCTTGGAAGCAGCAAATTCTTTTTCAAAATATGTTATATCAGTACTGAAAATAGTGGCCTGAACTTGATTCTCCTGTAAAAGAATTTGTAAAAAGTTTGATTAGTTGTGTAAAATTTAAAAGTTATCTTGTTATTTTTCATATTATTAAAGTAAAAATATAAAATGATGGGTTATTTAGTTAACTCAATTAAACTTTGGCTTTTAAAATCAATAATATATTAATAATAAAAATAAATACCTCTTCATCTTGCAGAATTAAGACTTGGTATTTTGTGGTTTTATCTTTGTTGTCCCTTAGTCGACTTTTATCAACAACTTGGACCTTACAGGTTCAATTTTTAGTAGTTGGAGTGGTCATATTGATGGTATATCTTTCCGCCATGTTGAAATATCTGCAATTAAAATATTGGTATTTTGTGGTTTTATCTTTGTTGTCCCTTGGTCGACTTTTATCAACAACTTGGACTTTACAGGTCCAATCTTTAGTATCGGGAGTGATCATATTGATGGTATATCTTTCCGCCATGTTGAAATATCTGCAATTAAAATGCATTATTAGAGGATAAACTAAAGGCAAATGTATAATGAAAGCAATATTATAATATAGATAAATAATATATATATATATATATATATAGTATATGTAAGTTGTATATGAGATTTACCATTGCAAATTATAGCACAAAGTTCAAGAAAATGCTTTTTCAATAATTTCATCATAGACAACATTATATGTCGAATGATCATCATTTTCGTTAATTAAAGGTGGTCTAATTAATACTTTTAGATTGTTAGAACTTGTAGCTCTTGATAAAGCAATATACAATTGTCCATGAGAGAAGACAGGTTCACGTAAATATATACCAACAAAATCTAATGTTTGTCCTTGAGCTTTATTTATAGTCATGGCAAAACATAATCGTAAGGGAAACTGTGTTCTTTTAAAAGGAATAGGCAATTTTTCATCTTCTGAAGTCATGAGTGGTATTCGTGGAATAAATACATGAGTATTTTTAAAATCACCGTAAGTTATTGTTGCACTGTTAACATGAGGTTTAAAATCATTACATATTAAGCGTGTCCCATTGCATAAACCTTCACAAGGATTTAAATTTCTTAATAACATAATCGGACAATTTTTCTTCAAAGTTAATTTGTATGGAGGTAAACCAATAGGATTTAAAGTGTGTAAGAAATCTTCATATTCACTTTGATCTTTTGGATCAATAGTTTCATCTATAGCAATATATACTTTTTCAGTGTTTGAAAATTGAGAGATCAACATGTCATTTATTTCATCAACAAAATCATTTTTAGTTGTTAGAATAGCACGACAAGTAACATACGAAGTTTTTGTACAACATGTGTATAAATCAGGATAAGTATTTCTAAAGAGAAGATTTAGAGATTCTTTTTCAGAAGTAAAAGGAATAATGAGAGAATGAGGAATTTCAATTTTTCCATGATCATTTGTTTTTTATTTTCCATCACCAATTCTCATTAAATATTCACAAAATTCAGGATCTTTAGTTGCACGCATATTCTTCGATAACTGTAATTTTTCAAGTTGATTCCAAATTTCAGAGAACAATAAACTTTCACGAATAAAATCTTCTTTTTTTTCACTACGAACAATAGGAAGAGTTTGTCTGAAATCACCACTAAAAACAACTATTTTACCACCAAATAACGTATTTGTTTCCATTAGATCTCTTAAAAGCAAGTCAAATGCTTCAACCATTTTCTTTTTTGCCATTGAAATTTCATCCCACACAATTAATCGTGCATCTCGTATTAAAGATGCTAGTGAACTTTGTTTACTAATATTGCAAGTAAAATTTTCATTGACATCAATAGGAATTTTAAATCGAGAATGAGCAGTTCGACCTCCGGGAAGAAGTGAAGTTGCAACACCAGAACTTGCAGTTGCTAAAGCTATAAATCCCTTGTGTCTTACTGTAGCTAATAAAGCACGATATAAAAAACTTTTACCAGTTCCACCAGGACCATCAATAAAGAATGCCCCAAATTTATTTGACAATACTCTATCAAGAATAATATCGTAAGCCTTTCTCTGTTCAGTGTTTAATTTATTTTGTAA